CCACCGCTTCACCACCAGATGGATGTCTTTGGTGAGTATGCGGAGCAAACGGCGATGGGAAACTCATCAGGCGCAGAGGTGGCTTGCTTTGGGGGGACCTTCGACTGGGGGCCAAAGCTGTCAGATTCAGTACCGAACTTGACAGAAGCCAGCCTCGCTCAGTTTTCGTCCAGTAGGGCATCTGCCCCGTCGACGCATGCCACCGAAACCTTTCGTTGTCACTGGAAGGGCTGTTCCTTCACTGCTAAAGACCGAAGCGTCTTTGAGTAAGTACAGTGAATTGCTTATGACTTCTCATTGAGGTAGCAAACTCCCGCTCACACTTCTCAGCGTACACGTCTGGCAGCACAGAAAATGTCCGAAGGTCGAGTGTCTATCATACTTTACGGGTGAGAAAGAGAAACGAAGACATGTCTGGAAGACGCACAGAATGTGGGCGCAGTCGATGGAATTTCCTACCATCAGTGGGATTTGCGACCACTGCGGCGAGACTTTCACTCGGAATGACAACCTGACTCGCCATAAGAGAAGAAAACATAAGTATTGAATGAGACATGAGTCGAACATCATTAATTCTGCGCATGTCTTCCTCTTGAATCCATTCAAAGCATACCCTGTGCTTCAAATCATGTGCTGCCCAGACAGAGAAATCTGAGCGTAAACGGTATACATTTAACAATAACACAGAGGCCTTGTCAAGTCGCAACCGAAACCAACGCGCGATTCAGTGCCGCCTTCCATCGACGTATCTCGAACCGACATTGGAATGTATCATTCACCTCCATTAGAGAGAGGGGGTATCATATGGGATCTATCTACGGCTTGACTCTGCCCAAATCAGCCGTAATCCGTGCGATCGTATTTTGTGAGAAGTCGCACCAAATGCTCACACAATCAAATCAACTCACTGCCTGTTTTGGTACTTATTTCTTTTGTGCTTCTTCTAGCCGGTAGATGGCTATAGGGCCAAGGGCATAGACCGACCTAGCCGTTAGATTTGACTTGTTTCAACCTCTCTAAAGTAAGTTGGGTGCAAGTTATATTGGGGCTCTATATCAAACGCACCACTCCCACGGTCCGTTGCTCTAGTAGAGGGCCATCAAAGACGGTGTAGCAACTCGATCATTAGGCTCGCAGAACGGTCTACGACTCGTCGGTCAACAGAAGTGGGATGAAGACACTCATCGACTTGGCACACAGGATTCAACTTTCCTAGGGGTCCACTACTTAGCATAACGATAGCGTACGTCACAAGCCACTGAATCTTGTACGTCATCCATGGCTACTGGTAGCACGACGGGACACTTGGACCATTCGTCGTTTGGAACCATTCCCGTGAGGCCACAAAGGGGCAGACAAGGTTGTTGTGGAATGCTAAGCTGATGGGTTAAGGATGATGTGGGAAGGCAAGAGATTGATTCATCCGCCGACGACAAGCGGCAGCGGGAGAGGCTGCACGGATTAGCGAGACACTGTTCAATCCCGATGTTGGGGGCAGAACTTGTCGTTGTAGATGCTGATGCATCTTTCGCTCTGATATTTTTATGGTGTGTGTGCGGTCTGGACATTGCTGTGGTGGTAACATTACAGGGCTCAAGATCCGGAAAGAGAGTGGAATTATGCACACGTCTTAGAGGACGCTTTTACATCCTCGGTCCGATGAGACCAGCAGTGGGGTAGCTCAGAAAAGACAGTTATCAACCCGTGCCCCATGCATGCTGAATCAAAGGCAAATATCTCTGAGATTGTGGCGCAATGCTTGATGGTCCATATTATCACAACGGCGATTAGCGCCCACGACGTACGGACATCCGATTATGAGCTTCATGTTGATGGGAAAATATTTCTCAAAACTGCTGGCAAGATACCTGTTTGCTCACAAAGCTCGATACTACAGCGCGGTTCCTGCACTGCGTAAAGACACCGAACGAGTAGAAAAACCAATCCTTTCTCACTGACTAAATTTCTAAGTAAGCCCAGGATCACGGCTAGTACTGGTCCAAAAATCTGTCTGGTGCTCGCAACGGCCCCACCAGCGGTAGACAGGAGCTGGCCCTAGACCTTTCCGTCTCCAGCCTCTTTCAAGTCGGCTACGGGCGCCTGTACATCGCCAAATACGGGAGTCTGTTCGTCGGGACGGCTTGTCTCAAGTCCAAGAGCTTTTTGTAGTTCGGCGACTGCTGGGAGTTTGAATGGGGCGCCCCCGTGGATGCCGTACTTTTGGTCCGCGCTGAGCTTCTTTCGAGCGACTTCTCTGGAGTGACCATTCAAGATCGTATTCAGGGCAAGTGAGCTCAAGCCTTCGCGAAGAAGCCTAGCCTCGTCGAAGGAGATAGTACTGTATATGTCCCTGTCGCCTGATTGTTGTTCGTCTAGCTGGCGATGATATCGCGCCACGTCTGGTGACAGGTTGCCGTCGAAAAGGACTACCTGGATGGAAAACTCAGAACCACCGCCCTTGACGTCCTTCAAACGCTTTTTGATCAGTTCTACTTCCTTGAGTTCCAGGGGGGATGCCGTGAGCAAGATGATGTTGGTAGGATGCGACGCCTCGTCGTTAGACAACCGCGACTGCAATGCGATGGACCGCTCAATGGTGAAGCGAATGCTATTCCGGAGTTTCAGCTGAGCCCGCGC